CCCCCCCCGCCTGTTTTTCGGACCCACAGAGCCCCTTTCTAGAAGGACAAGTGACTGAATCCCACTTTTTAATATCTTTCAGTGGGGGTTGCCAGTCGGCTTGGGATGCAGGTGATGATGCGGGAGGGGGCTCCCGGCTTGGGCGCAGGGTGGTCCTTGCCGCTGCCGCCCCGGGTGCCTCCTCTCAGCCCTTTGCCACTCCATCCTTGCTGGTTTTTGCGTGTTTCGGTAGCTTGTGTCCGGGGTGGACATCGTTCCCTACCAGAATAACCTCTCCTGAAAGCTGGGAATCCTTTGCTGATGATGGTAAATGCATCTGCTGAAAATATCAGGCACTTCACCTTTCTGTTCTTATAATCTTTTAGTCAAAGCCAAAATCTCAACCTACCATCATTGCCGGGCTTCCAAAGTGAATTAAAAATAAAATCAGCTATTCAGATAGATGTCCTTTCGCTTCTAAACATACTGCTCAAACTCAGTAAGTTGAATTTTTGTGAGTTTTTTCCCTGTACTTTGCACTCTGGTTAAGAGAAGTATTTGAGAACTGGAAACCCACGACAAGCTCAGATGTCTCTTCTCCTTTTCGTCTGTGGTGATACCAGGCCACAGAAGTCATTTATTCTGGGAAGAGGTGCCCCCCCCACCATCCCCAGTGCATGTGTTCCCTGGTGGAAAGTCCCATAGTAGGGAAGAAGACCACAATGCAATACGTGTTGGGAGATTAGTCAGAGTATTAATATTTTATATGCGTTTGCAGAGCTCCAAAATGAGTATCCTGAACAGCGTATGACATGTATAGCTAGAATTAAATTATAAATATCAGTAGTCAACGTTTATTTTAGGTATATGTCTGCAGTATGTGAAATGTAATAATTACTAAACCAAAAATCATAGACAGGAATGATTAGGTGATAAATTAGGCCGAGCTTAACTAGCTTTGAGTTCAAACTGGCCTTCGTACTGGGAACAAAGCTGATGTCCAAGAGAGAGTATAAAAGACATCCTGAAAAAAAGGATTCCGTCTGCTGATCCTTCTGAAGGGGGAAAACCCCCAAACCTCAGGACTTCGGCACCTGCGTGGGCGCGGAGGGCGAACCGCAAGCTGCGAGAAGAGGGCGTGTGGAGGGGGCAGCCCTGAGCCGCTGCGCATCCGGGAGGTTAGCCTGAACCGCGCCAGTTCCGAGCTTCCAGCGCTAACCGCTCCGAAAGGAAACCCAGTCCCTTTGAACCCACCTTGCTTCATCGGAGCTTTCCTGTTTGACTGTTAATGACTTCATTTTAATTATATTTCACATTTTTTATTGAATTTACTCTTCTTTGTAATTAAGATGGAGTGATTAGAATAGTTTACGGTACTCCAGAGTTTTCTGTAACAAACTAATTAACGGTGATGTTGTACAAGGTACCGAAATCGGGCTGGGGATTTCAGCCCTGCGCTCCTGCAAAGGGGACTGGGCGGGTGAGGGACCTGCTCAGGTTCGTGGTGGTCCTTACAGCCCACTCACCGTACAGAGGTTTCGGAGAAGATGGAAGAACCTCTGTAGGAGCGTGGTATTCTCACTTCATGTGGCTGCAGGAACGCGAGTGATGCACGGGCTTGGGTGGACACCCGGGGTCCCACTCTGGAGAGCTGGATTCGGCGGAAAAGGGGAGAAGCCTCGAAATGGAGGAGATGTGACAGCCGCGCTGTTGGAAGGAAGCGGCACGTTTACTACAAAAACATGGTGCTTTGAAGATGTTCCCTAGTAGTTCTCCAGTGTGCGCATGCATTGACAGCCTCATTTGGGTTATAATTCAAGTTTTGGAGAGGAAGGGAGTTAAAGCTGAGATAATTGCTTAAATTGAAATTGGTGCTTCTGTTGTACAAAGGGGATAATATAATGGCATTTTCCTTTCTGCTGCAGATTCTTTCCTTCAAAAATGTGGAACGAGCATCTCCCAGATACTCACTGAGATGTCCTACAGCAAATCAATACTAATGGTGTGGGGGCGACCAGAACATTGCCAGAACCAGATTAAAATTCAACTTCCAACTGCTCTGAGGCATCCTTTAGAGGGTTCATTAGCTTTCTGAACTACTCTTTTGCGTCACCTTGGAACATTTTCTTCTTCCACATCCTTATTAAAATTCCTTAATGCAACTGTGTTTGTGTACTTCACAGGTTTCAGCATTTTCTACATGGGAAAAAGAGTTACACAAAATAGTATTTGATCCACGCTACCTTCTACTAAATTCAGAAGAACGTAAACAGGTGAGCACTACCTCCGGCGTAGCTTCAGATTGGCAGCAAACATCTCCCAAATTAACCGTACTAACAGAGCAATCATCTTGGTAGGATAAAAAGAATTGCGTAAAATTAAAATTTCTTTTTTGAGTTTTTCAGTGAGAGTCGTAATTTAGGCGCTGCTCATAAAAAAGTGCTGTCTCCTTTGAATAGCAGGTGGTGAGTTTGCACATAGAGACGAGCTACCGTCTCTTGGGCTGTAGGAACAACTCCTACTGAGTCTGGGAAACTGGGCTGTAGAAAGAGAAATGGCTATCAGGTAATGTTTCCTCTCTGAATTATTTAAATGTTGTAGAGAGACTACTTCATTTTTATTACTTGGAATATTTTCTAGGAGTTTGGCAGTATTTACTGCTATATTTTGCAATAACTAAACTTGTTAGACATGAATGGATAGAGCACTGTGGCTGTGCTGGTATCTGTTTGAATGGGTTTAGTTTTTCAGGCAGGCTGCAAAGGGAAATGGACTTTTTGCTGCCTTGTTTATTTGGGCATTAATTATCAGTAGGGATCTAAAAGGACCCGAGGGCTGCAGATTAGTCTAAAAAATTTAGGAGGGTTGCAAGGACCTTGCAGAGAACGTGAATGCTTCTATTCTGTAGTTATTTCTCTTCCTTACCAGTCTTCTGTGATCCTGGAGAAGGAAGAATTTTGAATATGGAATTGTCCATTTTTTAAATAAACGCGATGAAAAATGTACTTATTCCTGTTCCATTGCACTGGGGCCCATATTGTCTTGTGATTCTCCAGAGAACTTCCTGTAGGTATTTATTGAGGGACTGGACGCATACATCTTCATTTACTCCCTTTCCAATATTTTCTTTCTTAAGAAAAAATGTGAAATAAAAAAAAAAGGAAATATGGGAATGAAAATGTAAGAGAAACTGCTGGATTGGAAAATACTGCTAGACAAGAGACTAAGCAGGGAGTTTTGTATTTATTCTAGGGAATCAGCAAGGACAAAACCTAGACCTTGATAAGTCAATCAAGATCTATCACTTTTTTCACTTTATCAGCCTTGGAGATGACATAATAAAAATACATCATGAATACACATGAAGCACTGCTGAGGGGGCCCTCGTTTGTGGGGTATATTTAATACTCAAGGAAAGGGTTATGAAAAGCAAGTAGTTGGCAGTCCTGTAGGTAGAAACCCGTAGTCAGGCAGAGGTTGGCCCTGAGCAGTAATTCAGGCTCAGAGCTAAGGGGGAAGAGGTTGATCATCAGTTGCTCTCCTGCAAAATAGGGTTAAAAAACCAGTAAGCTTGGGAGCACATGCCAGGTGTGTAATATATTTCAGTTACTAAGCCTGAAGTTAAGATTTCTAGACGTTCATTGTGAGTAGTGCCATTTAATTAGACCTCATTTTCCTCCAAGAAGTAGTTTAAGAAGAAAGCTAGACTCGGACAAGAGTAGATGCCTGATTTAATGAAAGTACTTTTTGAAGTGCAACTCAAATTAGTGGAGGACATTATTTAGGTTTATGGAAACATTTGCCTTCACAGATGCTGACTGTGCGGCCTGAATAGCGAGCGTCTGAATACTTTTTAAATTATGCAAATTAATTTCTATTTGAGGGAGTTAGAGGTTGAAAGTGGCTCACAATGAAAGTGAGGAATGAATGAATGAAGGAAGGTGGGAGGGAAGGAAGGAAGGAAGGACGGAAGGAAGGAGTGCCGGAGCATGGCTGGCTGTACTGCAGTCGTCTTCTCTCCATGGTCAGGCAGGTGGGTTGGAAAGGGCAGGGAAAGCGGTTTGCCTGTGATCTGCAGGCGTCTGAGGGAACTTCCTCTTGACTTGAACTTGTGTCGAGGTGGCTTTGACTTCCAGGAGTGCAAGCTCTGCTGTCGGTGGGTGTCCTTACACGGCCCGAGGAACAGAACGATCTGTATTGAACATCTGCGGTTTGCTCCGCTTACTTACCAATATTTTCCAAGGGGTTATTAACAGTTGAAAGATGCTACTATGTTTAAGCAAGGAACAGTGAAGGGTAAAGGAGCAACTGTATTAAAATAATGAGCTGTTAATTTTGATTTATTACCTTCATAGTAGCTTCACTGGTACCAGAAAGGCGAGCAATAACACTGTCACCTACTTTATTTGTTCAATTTTTTCCATCTCCTCTTACACTCAACTTGTGCAATTGCATGCAGTATAATATATTTAGATTTCCTAGGTTTTTTGTAGTACTTCTTCCATGGCCATTTTTTGATGTTTACCTTTCCAGTGCTATTTCTTCCCTTTTCCACATACCATACTAAATACCAGTTGTAATTTGGTTACTTTAGTTTTCATGAAATGTAGATTTGCACCTGTGCATCCTCATGGCTGATGAGAAAGCAACTGTGGTAGTAACCGTAGTAATCACATTTAATGTATGTAATTTGTGGTGAAAAGGATGGTGAATATGGAAAGCTAATAGCATTTTGAGGAGCAGCTCCTTTTATTCAACAACTTAGTGTGCCACACTTGCTAAAGTGTGAAACTAGCAGGGCCAGATTTTTGGTATTAAAAATGCGATTAAAGCAGTTGGCAGAATTTTGTGACATAGTGAACTCCTTAACTCCTTTTCAAGACACCAAAAATCCTGATGCTGAGCACCCTGCTGCATATTTAGCTGCCAAATACTGTTAGAGGAAGGTTGTCAACCATTCCAAACACATTAAAGCCTTTGGGTGTATGTGTACAGAGGATCATGTGTAAGCTCATGGTTTTTGACAACTGATTTGAAAGTTCTTCAGGCTTTTTTGGGGGTAATCTACAGAATATTGATGTTTAGCATTATAGACATTTTCAGGAATTCCAGCAAGTTGGGAAAGAGGCGAGATCCAAACTAAATAACTGCAGTCAGTTGTACAAATGCACAAAAATAATGCTATAGGCATGAAAATGCGAGCAAGAACTGAAGTCAGGAAATTTTGATTTATGTTGCACTTGATGTTTGAATGAAGATGTTATCTGTCCGAAATACACCTTTTTCCAGCTACTTATTTTGTGAGAACATGATCAGTGCTGCATGAAGCAGATTCAGCTGCATGCGAGTCAGCCTGTACTGAGGGCAGATAAGAACTGTAGGTCGTGAGATTGATGGCCCTTTGATCAAGCATAAATACTGTAAAGGCTTTGTTAATAAATACTGTATCTTGTTTCCCTTTCTTGGAAAGATATTTGAACAGTTTGTCAAGACCAGGATCAGAGAAGAGTACAAAGAAAAGAAAAATAAATTGTTGTTAGCCAAAGAAGAATTTAAAAAGCTCCTTGAAGAATCCAAGTTATCGCCAAGGTATGGCATTGCCTTATGAAGATTTGTTAAGATCAGCTTTCTCATTTAGCCTGTGCTTATCAGCCCCGGAATGCCGCAACACTGAGCATACTCTTTATAGCAAGCTTGTACATCCATTGTTACAATGCTGTGTTGACATTTCTTCCCTAATATTTTACAATATTTTATTATATTACTGGGAAAGGGAACGTACCGTTTCTCTCTCTGTTCTTTTCTCTCTCTCTGTCATTAAGAATGTGTAATATTTTGCGTAACACGTTTATTTTATATGCTTATACAGTATAATTATAGAACACACACACATATATATTTATATACAATCAGTACCTGAATGTTGAATCTTTTTTGTATTAGGCATACAGGTGTAACTGGTGAAAAACTGTATTTAGGTTTGTTTTCTGATGGAAGAGAAATATGATTTAACAAAGTTAGTATTAATGCCACATCACTAAATTAAAATAAAGCATGCAATGCAGTAATTTATTTTGATTTTTAAGTAATGGATCCAAACCTGCACAATAGCGAATGCAGTGCTTAGGATAGCACTTGCTCGTTTGTAAGTTATATGAAAATGAAGAGGTTTATATGTTATAAGTCTGGTTAAATTGTTGGAACTAAGAAATTACAGTTTTCTCTCCTAAAATACGCAGGTAATTGTACAGCACTACCTGCCTAGACACATAGATACAAACAACACATCAGGCTCTATGGAAGTAATAATTACAAGAGGTTTTTTTACCACAAAACTGAGAATATTCTGGGCTAATGTGGCAGCTAAACGCTGGTTCCAGCAAGGATGTTTTCAGTCTGCAAGGGCAAAATTGTGCTGGCCTACAGGACAGAGAACATTTTACCGGTTAATGTGTTGAGCTGACTGTGAGACCACAGCATCAAAGAAACTCATCCACCTGCAATAGTCTCTGGCTTGATTTTGGTATGCAATCAAATGCCATGTTTGCATTGGAAGATGCTGGACCTGACGATGAAATGCTCAGGCAAAGTTGCCTGGGGGTTTCAATTGCATTGTGCCCATCACTCAAAGTTACAATTAATTTTTTGCTATTTTTAGAGCAGATCAAACTAGCGTGGTATTTCGTCAGGTGTTGTGTACTATTGACAGTCAAAGTGCATTTGTTTGCAATTAGACAGTTTGCAATTGTGTGCTTTTCTGCTCTATTATCGGCTAATTATTGAAATACTGGCCATAAGTACCAGCAGGCATAGATTAAAGCCGCAGTAACCTGGGCTGCAGCAAACACTGTGTTAGTGACTCAAAATTGTCCTGTCAGCTATCACCCAGATTTTTCTAACCCAAAAAATGGAAGTTGGCTATCACAGGCTGATCCATGAGCCCGAAGCCCGGGCAGTTCTGGCATGGTCTCGCCTCCCTCGTCCCGGGGGTTACCGACATGTTCCTGTCAAATATTCCCCAGAACACCCATTTTTAGTGTCTGTGTGAAAAGTGAAGTGAGGTCCAGGTCGAAGAGTCTGAGTGTGGATTGACGAAGTCACAGCTTTAAAATGTCTCTCTTTTCTGCAGAACAACATTTAAAGAATTTGCAGAGAAATATGGAAGAGATCAGCGGTTTCGCCTTGTTCAGAAGAAGAAGGACCAAGAGCATTTTTTCAATCAGTTCATACTTATTCTTAAAAAGAGGGACAAAGAAAACAGGATAAGGCTACGGAAAATGAGATAAAAGCTCCTGAAACTGGCAATAAATACACAAGTCAATGCTGTGACTGCAGTACGAAATTCAAATGAAGGCTAAAGTGTTCGGGGTTAAACTTGCAACAGCTTGACGAGGAAGCGGATATCCCTGAGAAAATCTTTCTCTAAACAGAGTTTATTGAACATATATTGAATTTGTGAAGGTTGTTCTGCAGGAATCTGAAGGATATTTTGTTCTCAAAAAATTAATGTTTCATATTGAAGCTCTCTTTTGTACAACATCCAGAGTTTGATGCATTTCTAATTGCCATGATATGTCAATCCCTTAATTGTTTTAATTATGCAAATTACTTGTAATATACACAAATTATGAATCCAATGCAGATTTGTAATTAAGCAGAAGCAGATGCCATCCATAACAATCTCAAGATATTTTCATCATTTAGGGGAATTATCTAAAGCAATCTTTTGGCAACTTTATGCATTAACATAAAGTGTTTAGAGGTACGGTGGTATGCAGGAATTCGTTACCCGGTGTTCATACGTCTCTGTCCAGTTCTTTGAGTAGTAGTAATAAGATATTAATTGTTAATCTTAGTGAAGAGTGTGAAAATCTTGGCATATGTTCCATAGGAAAACTCTAAGTTTCAGAAATGGCTTTCTACTTAACGTGAATGGTGCTTTCAGGCACACAGGCGATGGCAACACTCCTCCGTCAGAGTTCCTAAAGAGGTTCTTTTGTAAAACCATCACAGTATGATTTCAATTATGTTACTGTATGTGAAAAGTCTGCATGAGATTTTTCTCATCATATTTGTATAAATAAATATTTAACTTTTTTAATTAATAAACATTTTAAGCCAATTTTCGGGGGCTTTATGTTTCTAAACTTTTTGAAATATTGGGTAAAATAGTGCAGGTCTCAAGGTTTTTACTTGAGAGGTAGAAAACCAGAGCGAGCTCCTACCGCTCATGATTTGTATGCAGATTCCACTAATATCAGCTGGAGTTCTGAGCATGTTGAGAGCAAAACAGTCACTCAGACTACGAAGGTAGGATATCATGGCTAGAGAAAATCAGCACAGCTCCGCTGAACGTCACTGTATCCCTTCCTTTATGCTGAAGGAAAGACACACTCTCCTCTGTCTGTGATCATAATCATTTTCTCAGTTGACCTGATTTTTAAGTTATTACTCGTTAGATTTATAGATTTCTATTTGGTAGCAGTGATTTTGATATTTTCCCCAGCTAATGGTAATTTTTCTTTAGATGTGTGCTGGATATTTTTTATAATCAAGGAAATAAAGGGTATTTTCTAATGCTTTGGAAAACTGAACTCAGAATAATTCAAAGAGGAGTACTTAATGTAAGGTGTGTTTTAGAAAGTATGTAGCGTTTCAAACTTCCACAAAAAGTTGTCATTTGTTTCTATGTGAGCAAGACCTGACCCAAAATTGCCGTTGGCGTGAGCGAGGAAACACGGTGCCTGTCGGAGCTGCCGGTTGAACAGATGCTGCCAGCGTTGTCTCACCGCTGCAAGTGAGGGTGATACTTCGAGACCGAGCGCGCGGGAGTGCGAGCCGGTAGATGCAATTTGATTTTACATGGCTTGTGAGACTCGTGATAGCCACTCACTCACAACTTCATTTAACTATTATTTTTACATCACTGGAAGAGCCTGGTTCGCTCCCACCCCTGTGTGACTCAAGAGTCCTGCATGAATTACGTAGAGACAAACGCTGTTCGCTTGTACGTGTGGTAGGACTAGGCAGCGGTGACCCAGAAAAAAGAGGTAGGTCTTTCAGAGACCTGAAGACAGACTTCATAGGGGTTTTCATACGGTTTTGCAAATTTAAAAAAAAAAAAAGAAAAAGATGCAGAGAAACAATGAGATCTCGCTTTTATGACTGAAAGCTTTTCTGTTGCTGTGGCTTGTACCCCTTGTGTTGTTTTAAATGTATGTGCCTATCTAGACCCTACACTGCCATCCCCTATTTAAGATATGAATAAAATGGGGTACTATTATTTTTGGGGTTCTCCTTGATTTTAGCATTTCCTGACAATGTCAGAAATCTTTGTCACGATGTAAGCATGATAGTGAATGGATAACGTGTTTGATTTTCTTGTGAAATTCTGTGAAACACAAGAAGTGATCCGTGCCGGTGGTGGTCCGTGTCTGTTAGAAAGCCTCCAAGTTCAGCTCCGTTTTCTTATATTTAAAATGGAGGAGTATTAAAATAAACTCACAATAGAACATGATACAACAGAAGGAAATGTCTATATAAAGGCACATTATAGCGCAAAATACTGACAGTCACTGAGGTAAAATACCTTCAGAGACACGCATCAGGTTTGTAGAAGGATATGATCTCATCCCAAAATAAGATATTTATGGCCTGTTCATTTCACAATACCCTTAACAAATCCTAATCTCACTTCAGGTGCCTCAAATTAAAATATTCTCCTCTCGTTATTAACACCTAAGAAAAATGGCTTTGTCGGGAGCAACTGCTTTTCATTGTTCATCAGAAGTCTCAGACGGTGGCAGAGCCCATCCTCCATGTTACGTTCTCGATTCTTATAGAGAAATAGTTTTGCCGAGCTGAAAGAGAAACCCTGATAACTCTAAGAAACAACAAAAACATTTTAGATTTTAACTCAAATCACAGGGCACCTTGTTAGAAGTGCCGTATTTATTCCTTTTGGCTATAGGTGGGAGTAGAGACGCTGCTCCTCGTCCGGACTTGACTCATCACCCGCCTCACGAGCGCGGTGGGTGCAGCGCGGCCACTCCCGGGGTGGGCGCGAGCGAGACCCCCCCATGCTCATGGGGATACACTTCTGCCGAAAGCAGGAGCCCCTGTTCTCGGAGCCAGGGCTTAGAAAATTAAACGGACTTTGTGAATCCTGTGTATAATGCAGAAAACTCCCAAGGAGTTGAGGGGAACCATTACATCCCCTTTATTTCTATACCATTTCACCATGTCTAAGAATTATCAAAATACACACATTAGCATTGTGAATATAAATGAATTAGCATTCATGTCTAATATGTCAAAGAAGAACTTTCTATCACAACTTTTTAGTACAGTCTGAAATGACTATAGGTGCTTTTTTGCTTTATGACGTTACCTTTGGATTGGTACAGTATATAGCACATAATAGCCCTCAATATTCTAATTCTAATTATTATTGTTTATAATCATACTACTTCAATAAAATGTAACTACTCTACAGTCAGGAAGGCCTTGAAGGTTGCAAGAGCCTGTGATGGGTCCAAAATCTTGGCTCCCGGTCTGACCATGCAGATGGTCGGGCGAGGCTGTTTTTGTCGAGCTTAGAGGTGAGGTTGGTCCGGCCTCCAGGCACTGAGAAATGAGGCTTTCCCTGATGCCAAATCCAGCAACGCTTGGAGAAAAAGGAGGTCTGATGCTTGTTCGGTTGTGTTTCCACAAACGTGTGACCATCATACGTTAATGGCACATAGTGGGTGCCAGGAAATTATAGCTATGCCAAGTCCAGGGGGGATCACCTATAGAGTCATAATACCCCAGTGCCACTGCAGAGCCCTGCCTGCGTGTTGGGTGCAGCCCTGGAGGCAGCATCGACCCGCACAGCTCACTTACAGAGCACACACACGGCTCTGAGCTTCCTCAGGAAACTTTGAAAAGCGCTAGGCTCCGTTAGATGGTCAGAGTTGGTTATTTTTCCCAGGAAATATAATTTTTCCGGAATTAGTTATTTCTATGCTGCAATGTATCTAAACTTTCATGCTCTGGGATGCACACTTCAAAGCGCCTTACCCAAGATGCAGCAGGGACAGACGAGAAGGCCTACCGTTGCATCGCTGGCAAGACTCATCGAAAATAGTTTTGAATGGGGCTCGCCTCTGCGAGGTGATGTGGCGGGCGCCGGTGCAGCCCCCGTCACTAGAGGACACCAAGGGGAAGAGGAGATGCTAACATAAGAGAAGCCTAAAAAAAACCTCTAAAAGCCTCAGACTTTGTTTGCCCGATGCAGTTAAGTCAAGAAAAGGAGATCATTACTCTGCACGATCACGCTAGGAGGGGGTAAGCATAGCAGGAGATGATGTTTACTAAACCTGAACAACTCCACAAGAACAAATCCGAATAAACTGATTTTCTTGACTTAGGAGTTAATTTCCAGGATTCTCTTTTTACCTTCTAAAGTGAGGGCACTTTTCCTTTTATCTGGGTAACAAAGAGGAAAATCTAATTATTGTGACTTGAGTAACCCACTGAATTTTTTTCTAGGGTGGTTTCAAGGGCATAGCACTCTGGGTGGATTGTGACTAGATTGTTCAAATTATTTTGTTACAAGTTTTGTTCATCTTCAGCTCTCCAGGAATCCCATGTTTCCTAATGCCTGTCACATTAAAACAAGTGCAATCCATCTTTTAAGTCCTGGGCTCACCAGCATCACCTGAGGGGATTCGTTTATCCCAGGTCACTGCCCTGATGCAGGGCTGGAGGCTGCCCTGACCCAACATGGTTTTCTAACCCTGCTCTATTTACAAGCACCCGAGCTCCTCCGAGCCCTGTGCCAAGGGTCCCCCGACTCACACATGGGGGATTTTTGACAAGAAACGCTCAAACTAGACACCCAGCCTTTCACAGCTACGGGCGTCTGTTAAACTGGGGGTAAGTACCGAGTCTGAGCCCCTGAAGGCTTCCACTTGCCGGCAGCCGTTCCTCAGCCTCCAGGCTGAGGTGAGTCCGCCCAGCCCCGGTCCCAGCCCCGGTCCCAGCCCCGGTCCCAGCCCCGGCTGGGCGAGAGGAGCTGACCTGGGGGTGCTGGGCCCGTTTCGCCTGAGCCTGTGATAAGCAGCGATGGTCTGGCTGTTGAAAGTAGAAAAAGGTCAAGTTATACTGGATTGCTGAAAATTAAAAAGAAAAAAAAGGGGTGTTTGAGAAGGTTTACTTTTTTTTTTTTTTGGTAAAGTTAGAAAACAAAGATTCTAGAATGATCCTAAGTGGTCTTAAAGGAGCCAATAAAACTGCGTAACAGCCTTGGATTTCCTATTTCTACTAGGGAAAAATAACTAAAACAGAATCTTCAACAAGATTTTTAATAAGTGTAGTCTTTCTTTGTCACAAGAGGAAGAAAACTTTTGCTATGTTTGAAAGTACCGAGAGAATGAAATGCAATCAGCAGCAGAGCCCAGGCCTGCTGTAGCAGCAAGGGACAGATCTAAAAATGAGTTTGGGAATGCGGGCAGCAAGAATGAGCTAAAACACCTTCAGAAAGAAGCTGCTAGCGTTGGTGAAACTTTCAGCATATTGAATTTCTTAGGATCAGAAAATCTTTTATCAAAATGAAAACATTTTGATCCTATAGCATTTGTTCAACACCGTTGTATTTCAGTAAAGCAGATCCTGGTCTGCTTTAGTTATGCAAATTAAACTTGAAATATTTGAGGGTTAAAAACCCCCCACACCCTGTTCCTTGAACCCGTTCCCTGTCTCCAGGAGCCTCAGCTGTGTATAATCCCTCCTGACAGGCGTTTGGCTATTTTGATTCTCTAAACCTGCAGAAACAGAGATTGCAGAGATCCCCAGGTGATTCATTCCCCGGTCTCACTGCTCTTGGCAGGAAGGGTTTTCCCCTTCCAACGTGAACTTTTGCTGCAATTTAAGCCTCTTATGTCTTTACCTGCATGGGCACGGAAAGCAATGTATATACTTTTTATTTTGCCTAGAAACTTGATGCATTTGACCCTCTTGTCTGAGCAATACCCAGCCTTGGCATGGGCCAAGGAAACGGGCTAGATCACGCCTCGGAGCCCCTCCTCCTCCTGCTCCTGCCATCTGCTCACGCGGCGACGCTTGTCTGGGC